ATATCGCTTATAGCAATATAACTTTTGGGTTTTTAGTGTGTTGCAGAACTTAAATGTGGTTAACGCTTCAAATAGTAAGGGGGAATTTTTTGTATAAGAAAGTGTCAATTCAAGGTGTAATCTTTCTGCAGAATGAATCATGACTTGTAGTATGAAACAAAACTTAAGAAAAGTTAATATATTTTATTCTTAATGTCAAGACCGTATGACTATTAGGTGGTATTTTTTAGACAGCAACGACCTCGTATAAATTGGAAAGAGTGGATTTCAACTGATCTGCAAAAAGCATTTCAGGCTTTGGGTCCTTCCTTCGAAACTTTTTTCAGTCTTTACCGGTCTATACAAGTAAAAATCCTCTTTTCTGTGAATTTTTTGCTGATTTATGAGTGAACTGGTCGGGTTTTGAAGAAGCGAAACAAGAAATTGTCAAGCTGTTCCCTATATCTCCCTAAAGCTTAAAAGGCTTTGGTGACTGAGTTTTGAAATTCGCAAACCCACAAAAACTCATCAAAATTTCCTTTTAACCCTCTTCTAGGCCGTCTTTTACCACATTATTTTCATAATTTTTACTGGTCCCTTTTGCGATACCAGTGACTGTTAGGCAAATTATCTTTTAGAACCACTACAGTTAGAAAGACTGAGCACATGTGGTTATGTTTTTCATTTTTATTTAAGCGCGTCATGTACGGGTATATTCACTTAACTGTTAAGGAAGAGCAGAAACTTTCTTAACATAATTGTTATTTCTAAAAAATTGAGCAACAGCTACATCAAAGAGATCGTTCCAGGAGTGGATAAAACAAAACATTTGTTTGATTTGGCAGTTGTAGAGTAGGCAAGCGAGGCTCTGAATTTTTTAGAGTTTGTTATCACACACTTCATGAGTCATGATGCAGTAGCAAAGAAGTATACTTACTTTTCATCACACCTATAGTGGACGTGATGCACAATTAGACTGAGTCAGCCAGTACTACTGCTGTTAAGCATGTCATCTCCTAAACCTGGTTAGAAATACCTAACTCATGATTGCATTTCAGCTGTGTGCATAAAAACTGCAACTGTGGCCAAAATATTTGTAGGGATGCAAGGAACGACAAATTGATGCTGTGGAATCCATTAGGGATGAAACTAAAGTAACACTAAGTTGTGACACCCTTTTAATTTAGACTATCTACGGTAGTCGTGTCGCCAAAAATAGGAGGCGTTGCGGTTACAAAAGCAGGTGTGCACCGTTGCTTCTTACCGCCTAAGCATGGTTCAGCTGCAGAAGGAGTTTGGGCAAATGCTGATCTTTCCTGTATAAACGGTCTGTTAGACAAGTACTGGTGCAGCAGCTTTGCGGAAACCATTTTAGTTTTGTTTCCACACTCTTCTGATGGGAGTCTTGATGTTAACATTGGATTAAGAATCTATATCTTTGTTAAGCAACTAAAGGAATATCATATCAGTAACCATGAGTAGGTTCCATTTCCAAACTCAGCTGACAACTTAAAAAAACAAGTCAGCGGTTTATTATTAAAACAGTAAAATCAGATCAAAAGTTTAGAAATTTTGCTAGAGAAAGCCGTTGTTTTTAGGAAGCCTTCGAAAGATATGAACTACTGCGACCTCTGCTTGAAAACTGCTTTAACTGCAAGCAGATTTCTTTGCTGCCTGTGTGTACTTTATTTCGTGATTTTGTACGAAGTATGCTTTTGCGAGTTGGGGGTTGGGAAGTGGGAAAAAAAAAGTGGAAGATATGCTATGAAAGAGTTTCGTTGTAAAAAGAGCGTTTGCAGAAAAACTGTAGAACTCTCTGCAGTTATTGCTTGTTAAAGTTCACCAATATACCCGCAAAAAATTCGTTTGTTTAATTTTCAAAGAATTGGATACTGAAGCTTATAGGAATACCGCTGAGCTGGCAGAATTCTAAGCAGTTACACGAGACTAGATATGAAGCTGGTAGGAGAGTTTACACGCAAATTACTTTTCTGAATTTGAATGACTTAAACTGTTTGGAGATTTTGTTTTTTAAAATTTATGGAACTTAATTTAGGCAACGTATCTTGCAAATCAGTAACTACCATTAGGGAAGCTTGAAGAGGAGTCGTTGCCGAAAAGTGTAAGCAATGAAGGGGCTTTGGGGGGTTAGCGGATAAAGGGTTGTTCACTAGGTTTTTGTTCGTTAACACTGTTATTTAACATTTGTAGTTTAAATTTTGATCTCATCATTGTATTTTTAGAACGTCAGTAGTTCTTCTTGCTTTCCTCTTTTATTTTCCCTTTAAAATTTTTAAAATTTTTTGATCTCAAATTTTCTTTCTTTTTTTCTTTCTTCACTTCGTCCTATCTGAATTTCAAAAAGTTTTTTATTTTTAAGTTTTTTGAATGCAATTTACTTTCCTACCATAGAGTTGCCTTAACAAGCATTTTCTGAACGAGCATCAAATATTAGCTCCAAGCAGGACTTCAAGTTTGGATAACAACGTTTTTGCTCAAAAACTGTGCTCAGATTTCCACAGTAAAGTTTCACCGCTCAGTACATGTATTAATTTATCAACTTGTACGACATGTAAAAACAGAAAAAACCGTCTAAATTGGTAAATCCGTAAAACATTTAAAGCAGAACTTGTAAAACTTTTTAACGTGTGTCACCGCTGGAAAAGTTAATCCTAACAGCAAAAGAAATTAAGAAATGACAGATATGGCCACAGCAAAGTTCTTAGAAAACAAAAATGTATACTGCTGTAAGATGGTAGCAATGCGCTGTACGTTACGGCGCTAACTTTTGGGGTTGCGCCTGTGAAGAAGTCAAGGTAAAAGAGTTTTTTCGTATTTATAAAAGGGGAAGCTGCTTCAAAGAGAAATCTGCGGCTAAGCACTTTTTACTGCAATATCAACTTTCCTTAAAATCTGCTGTCTTTAAGCAGCTAAGGAAGCGCAAAAAGTTAATGTTAGAAGCTACAATGAGAAGCTCTTAGGAATGTTGAAAAATTTGCATAATTCCTGCAGTGCTAACTGCAGGTACCAGTTCCACTTTCACAAGCAGAGACTTGGAAGGATGAAAGTGGCGCTAAAAAGGAAATTAGACTACGTATTTAGGACTTTCGCCTTGATCCTTGCTTTTTTTGCAGTCTTCTTCTCGCTTTTAAAATTTGAATGTTTTAGAGAAGCAATTAATTCAAAAAGTATCCTGATGAAAAGAACTTTGAAGTGGCACTATAAATGTACTTATAAAAAAAAAAAAATTTTGAGGTTTAACAAGTTTGCAATTTTCTGGACCTAATCTTATTGAACAAAAAATGAACCTAATCTTTTTTGCACTTTAGCTGCATTTGACGCTACACTAAATAAACCTTTTCACTTTCTTTTTTTGGAAGGGCAAACTTCACTACCATTTGAATTCTCATTAAAGCTTGGCAGTCATTAAATTCTTAAAAAAATCTAAAACACTAAATGAGGAAAGTTTATGGCATCACTTAGAAGCTAGTAAATAAATCATTTAAAACAGTGTAACAGAAATACTTAGAGACATAAACATGCCCAGGCAATTTGAAGTTAAATTGCATGCTTTTTTAATATCTCATACTTTTTGAAAGCCGATAGCTTTTTTTGTTTGGTAGCAAAATAAGAACAATATACTTTAGCAAATCGGTTTTCTGTAAAGTTGGAACTTTTTAAAAGCATGAAGTGGAACAACTGTCTGTGGTCATTTTTGAAGGATATCAGTTTTTGAAATGCTCTATCGGTTCTTGTTCTTCTTTTTTCTTTTCTGGTTTATTTGGTAATCTCTGTAATCTCTGTCCTGTAGTCAATCCACCAGTTGCGTTGAAACTGTTAGGAAAAATTAGAAAAGTTTGGTTCTAAACAGTTGTATTTGAAATTTTCAGTCTGCAACCTCTTGAAATAAACCTGTCTAATGACAAAATTCCTTTGCAAAGCATATCAAAGCATATTAAAGCTTCAAAATAGCCATTTAATTGGAAAAAAATTTACAAAGTAGAAGACAAGATGGAATAGAATATTTTACATTTACAGTGAATTTCAAATATTTTTTTAGTGTCAAAAGCGATCCTGTTTTGAATTTAGCTGCTATGATGGTGAAAACTAATAACCTCGTATAATCTATGAGTTTCTGAATAGTTAAATAGAATTTGCAGTATTACGTTGGTTCTTTGTTTTCTGTCATCTTTCCTGACTCATCAAAAGAGATTTTGTAAGGTTTTGGTTTATTTATATATTTGTCAATGCATTAAGAAAGAAAAAAAATTTTTTTTACTGAACTTTTTTCGCAAAGAACTGCAGAATCAGCATTTTTATATATAATAATGCACGCAGTCTTCCAAAGTATTGTTTGCTTTTGCTTTTATTTTTACTTTTGACAGTTTTTTGGTCATTTACTTTTCGATGTAAATTTTTACATAAGTTTCAGCAGCTATCAAAGATGACTTAACAAACACATCAAAAACTGTAATAATTCTCTAGGCTCAATTATAATTTCCATCTTCAAATGCAGACCAGATTGAGTAAAATATACATTTTTACTTTTAAGGATTAACTCTGTTCTGTTTACACTTTTTGAGGTAAATTTTCAAACTTACTGACCGCACGCTGATAAGCCTTAAGAATAAAATATCTAGATTTTTACAACGTTGTCGAGAAGTCATGAAGAAGATATGAATATGTGACTGCAAAGCATTTCTAGGCAGGAAAGAGGCTCCAGTGCTGTTAATTCCCAAATCTTCTGTTGGTACGGCTTTGCAATTGTTTTAAATTGTAATAAGGATGCAGAAGCGAATCGCTTAACACATAAGAAGCGGGGCTAAGTTAACGCCAACCGTCCGAGTAAAGAAGTAAATTTATTGCTTACAAAGTGGTGCTCCAGGCTCCATCACTTTTTCCGCATTTGAAGACAATCAAATGACAACTTCACTTTAGCTACTGGAAGAATTACTTGACGATAACAAGGCTTTTTGGCCCACCCCTTATATCTAACGACAAATTTGTAAGTCTTGACAACGTTGTTTCAAAAGCTTCATTTGTTCTAAAAATGCTTCAGTTTTTTGCTCAATCCCTACCTCTCTAAGTTATTGTAAAGCGCAAATCTTTCAAAAAATGGAAATTTGAAAAAGTAAAACAATAAATACCATTGAGTTTCTTCAAGCATTTACTCCCTAGAACTGATGCCTGCTTTAATCGCATGTTCCCTCTTACATAAGAAGAGAAAATGACAAAGTAAGAGTGAATAGGTCGCTCAAAAGATGTAGATCAAATAAATGAAAAGTAAAATTAGAACGTACTTTTGAATAATGTTTCCAACCAATAATGATAAGTGAATTGCCACAGTCGCCTAACGCCCATCTTCCTTCGAGACTTCGGCAAAACTTTTCAGCTCTTTCAATAAGATCACTGAATTTTAGAACAAAATTAGTTTTGCGTTTTTAAGTAACTGCTCATGACTTGCTTCACCTGAATCTCTTTTATGCAGATAATAAAACATTTACTTTTCGGATGGGCCACGTTTCAAGTCCAGCTCAACTGCAAGAGCTACTGCTACAATAAAACCTGATCCTGGTCCATCGTCAGCGGAACACTGAGTTCGTCTTTGACATGGACAAGAAGTATTTGTAGCAAGTATATGAAGTCTTTCGTTCAATCTTGTCGCTAAAATACATTTCAGTTATAGGATTTCTTTCAACACATTCTACTTTATTCTATTACTAATTTTTTTCTCTCGTTACTGTGACATTATTCTGCTTAAATCTCATTCACAATGGCTTTGAACTTACCATCGTTGTCTATTTTTAAATGAACACAGCCAGAACTATACAAAAAACTGGATTGCCTCCAATATTCCTCTTCCCTCCCGCTACCCAGTCGAAAAAAAAATTGATAATTGTTATTTCATGCAGCTAAATGGGATCAGTTGCATTCTCAAAGAAGACTCTTTCAGCAAAAGACAAATAAACCTTCAGTTCTGAACAAATTTGACTTTCCCACTGGCAATTCTTAATGCTTGACTTAACGTCAAACAGTTATCACCATTCAAAAATTTCTGATTTAGTTTAGAGGATT